ATGAAGGAGCTGGCCCGCAGCTATTTCTGGTGGCCGGGGCTAGACCAGCACATCGAGGACTTTGCAGGCCGCTGCACTGCCTGCCAAACTGTGCGAAACGCACCTAAACCAGCAGCAGTCCATCCATGGGAATGGCCCGCGGAGCCGTGGCAGCGTATACACATTGACTTTGCGGGACCATTCGAAGACAGAATGTTGTTGGTGGTGGTGGACGCCCACAGCAAATGGCCAGACGTGGCCATCATGCGTTCTACAACCACCAGGAAAACCATTGAGCGTCTGGAGGAAATGTTCAGCCGGTATGGAATACCGGAACAGCTGGTGAGCGACAACGGACCCCAATTTGTCGCAGAAGAGATGGAGGCCTTCCTCAAGATGAATGGAATTCAACACATTAAGTCAGCACCCTACCACCCGTCCACCAATGGACTGGCGGAGAGATTCGTACAAACCTTGAAGCACAGTCTAAAGGCTTCAGTGTTCCAAGGTTCCCTTCATCAGCGACTGTACAGTTTCCTGCTGACTTACCGAAACACACCACACAGCACCACTAAGGCGTCGCCCGCTGAACTCCTCCTGAAAAGAGCGCTGCGCACCCAATTGGATTGCATACGGCCGCAGTCAAGGAGCCAAACTGTCCTGAGCAGTCAGCAAGAGCAGAGCCAACGTAGGGCAGGCACACCACGGTCTTTTCACATTGGTGACCCGGTCCTAGCTCGCAACTACCTAAGGGGTCCCAGGTGGGTGCCAGCGAAGGTAGTGGCCATTACCGGGCCACTGTCATACCAAGTACGCACCAACGATGACTTAGTGTGGCGTCGTCATACGGACCAACTGCTGGCCAGCAAAGGCCCTGCCCCGGAACCAATGGGTTCCCCCCTGCAAGATATCTCCGACGGGGCAGACGCGGTGGAGGACCAGGCCGCCCCTGACACCCTGTCAACCACCCTTCAAGAGGACAACGTCACAGACCAGGTTCCCCAGCCCCCATTGACAACAGATTCAGCGCCACCGTCGTCTCCGGTGACCCACCACCCTCACCGGTATCCCACGCGGGAGCGACGGCCTCCTGACCGCCTGAACTTGTAGTTGATGGACTTTCATATCCTTTTTTCTTGTGGTTTGGAAATTTTGAAGTTAGGTGTTATCCCCTGTTGGGGGTACGTTATCTTATTCTGGGGTTAGTGTTACTAAATAGAGGGGGAGGAAATGTTAGATATTAAATCGGGTTTCACTGTTGCTATGTATGTGCCTCGGCGGCCACCGTACCCCTGTGTTACGTAGGGGATTGTTTTTCCCTGTATC